AGGTCCAAAATAGACCCCTTGTCCTGTCAATGTGACCTCGAGTCAAGCAGGAGGAACCAGGAGCACAATTCCAGACCCCTGCCTCAGAGGGGGTGGGCCCCAGTGACCAGCCCAGTGACCCTGCTGCTCGACACCCCTCAGTCTTCCAGGTCCCTCGACGCCATGGGCACGCGATTCCTCCTGGCTCTGTGCCTGGTCCTCCTGGTGCTGACCTGTGGTGAGTGGCCTGCAAGGGGCATCTCCGAGGAGGGGGAGCTGGGAGCCTCTTCTCACCCAGCCTGGGCCGCCTCCTCTCCTTTGCCGGTTGTTTCAGCTCCCCTAAGCCTTGCCCTCTCCGCCCCTGCAGAGATCCAGGGGCTCCCGCAAGATGAGCCTGCCAGCCCGCCTCTGCTGGCCCAGGTGAAGGAGTCGCTCTCCAGCTACTGGGGCACTGCCAAGGCAGCTGCCCAGGGCCTGTACGAGAAGACATACCTGAACGACATGGACGAGAAAATCAGGTGTCGTCTCCCCTGGGAGAGAAAGAGCTGGCCCCTGATATCAACCACGGCCAAAACCTGGGAGTCCAGGCCCGGCCTCCTCCCTCAGACCCGGGGGTCCAGGTCCAGCCCTCCTCCCTCAGACCCCGGGTCCAGCCCAGTCCTCCTCCCTCAGACCCCGGGTCCAGCCCAGCCCTCCTGTCTCTGACCCTCAGCCCTTTCTCCCCAGGGACTTGTACAGCAAGGGCTCGGCCGCCATGAGCACCTACGCGGGCATCTTCACTGACCAGCTCCTCACTCTGCTGAAGGGAGAGTAGTGTCAACCCGGGGTGTGGGTGGGGAGCCCAGGCTCCAGCATCCCCTGGTTCTCCTGACCTTCCTGGGAATCGGACAGGGCTCCCGCCACGCCAGCTGCTCTCAGCCCTCCCCTCCTCTGGCCTGAACTCTCACCAGTGAGTGAAAGAATAAATAATAAATATTTATTCTCTTTGATGTGGTGGCTTTTCTGGGGCTCAGGGACCAACATAGAGACACTGACTGAGTCCAAACAACATTTAGTCAGCAGGTATTGTCTGTGTGTGGCCATATCTGGAACCTGGTCCTGGGAATGAAGAGGAAAATAAAAACAAGAAGTGATCATAACAATGAGTCACTGCTCTTGACTAAGGTCTGATGTTCCCGTGTGTAAAATGACAAATCATGGATGAAGATAACCTGCAGTGACCTCTGACAGCACACAACCCCTGTGTTGACACTTTACTTTTTGTTTTCCTCACTTTTTTTTTTTTTTTTGGTGGGGGTGTAAGGACTGAGCCCAGGGCCTCAGGCATGCCAGGCAGACGCTCCAGCATCGAGCTCCACCAGGCCCCTGAGATGACAGTTTAGATGTGCCATCTCAGGGAGTATCCGAGGCAGGAAGGTGGGCACCCACGAGTCCCTGCTAAGCTTATGAAGTTAGTTTCACAGTTTGGAGGGGACACAGGAAGTCAGACCTCTGAAGCCCGGATGCTTTGACAATCCAGCGCATTTACCTCACCTGATTTTCACCTCACCTGATTTCCTGGAGATCGGCACCAAGCCCTGAGGGCATAGAGGGAAATATAGATAGTCCTGCCCTCAAGGGGCTTCTCAAAAAGCCACCAAGGGTGCCCACCTGTTATCCCAGCAGAGTGGGAGGCTGAGGCAGGAGGATCAAGAGTTCTAAGCCAGCCTCAGCAATTTAGGGAGGCCCTTAGTAGTTTAGCGAGATCCTGTCTCTAAATAAAATACAAAAAAGGGCTAGGGATGTGGCTCAGTGGCTAAGCATCCCTGAGGTCAACCCCTGGTACCAAAAAAAGCCACTGATGGAGGCTGTAGCTCAGTGGTGGAATGCTTGCCTAACACATTTGAGGACCTGGATTTGATCCCCAGCACATTTAAAAAATAAAAATAAATAAGCCATGGATCAGGGACTGTTGCAGCTGCAGGCAGTTTGAGAGATTCTGGTTTTATAGTATGTTCTGTGGGCTGTTCTCTCCTTGCTAGTAATAACACTTCCTAAGCTCCTCAGAGCCAGGAGCTCCACTCCACCCTGAGGCTACAGCTAGACCCCTGCCTCAGGGAGCAAGAAGACAAGTGGAGATCGTTTCAGACAGCAGCATGGACCCCAAGGAAGACTGAGTGGAAGAGACCCCCAGACCTTGGATGTGCTGCTCTAAGCAGGCAGAAGTAGGGCCCAGGCTCTATTGAAGACAGGATGACCAGGCTGGAGCTAGTCAAGGGGACACAGTGCAATGCATTCTGGGTAGGACTGTTGTTGCTGGAAAGTGGGGGAGAGGATCGGGTGCTGATTGGGCCCCCCGGGTCCAGGTGGGGTGGTTAGAGGATGGGAGGGAACATCTAGCAGCAGGAAATTGCAGGCAAAAAGCACAGGATGAAGGACAAGGGTGGGGCTCCATGGGCTGAGGGAGGCCGGTGCTGGGCCCAAGGGTGGACGATGGGGCGCTGAGGGAGCAGAGGATGCTCCCATAAGTCTCAGGGGTGGGGCTGTGGGTTTCTGGGGATCCATGGCCTGGATTTCTCCTAATCTGCTTGGCATTACCCTCCAGCCAGTCTTTCAACGATCTTGGGGCAGTTTTCCCAGGTTCTGAGGCTGGGCAGCTATGAGCCCAGTAGAAAACAGAGGCCTTGGGAGGGGCTGTGGGCAATGTCCCCAAGTCCCCAGGTCTGGGAAGAACTGAGGCTGCCAAGACCAGGGGGTGGTGGGGAGGGGGAAACCCTGGGGGGGGGAACAATCCCTGCTCTGTCCACTTGTTTCCCACAGACTCGAGCCAAACCAAACCACTGTCCAAGCCAGCTTTGCTTCCAACCAATCCGGATGCCATTCCCAGACTCCTCCTGCCTTTCTCAGACCCCGACTCCCTTCAGGACCCCAGAAGACCAGGGCCCCAGAGTCCTCCTCCCCAAGAACTCAGCACATTGAAGGATAGACTCCTCCTTCCTCAGACTTAGAAGTCTGGACCCTGAATCCCTTCTCCTTAGAGCCTAGAAGTTCAGGTCCCCAGCCCCCTTCTCCCTTGAAACCTGAAATCATAAACTCTGGCCAGTGTTGGGCTCCCCCTAGTGGAGGGCAGAGAGGGCCCATTCTGAGAACACTTAACTGAATGGGATTTATTTGATTACTCAACAGAGGGCTCCCAAGGGCTCTGGCTCTGAAGGGCCCTCATGCTCTATCGGATCAGGACCTGCAGTGTATGAGACTTGGAGGACATATTGTGGCATTTTGTAACTAGAGCTGGGAGCTACCTCCTTAATCCTTTTGAAATTATTATGAGTATTATTACTATCATTATTTTTTTGGTGCCAGGATTGAATTCAGAGGTGCTTAACTACTGAGCCACATCCCTAGTCTTCTTTTTTATTAAGACAGGGTCTCACTAGGTTGCTTACAGCCTCCCTAAATTGCTGAGGCTGGCTTTGAACTTGCAATCCTCCTGTCTCAGATTCCTGATTATAGGCATAAGCCAGCACACCCAGCACTTTTTGAAATTTTGAGAGAGGGTCTCTCTACATTGCTGAGGTCGGCCTCAAACTTGTGATACTCCTGCCTCCACCTTCTGCTTCGCTAGGATTACAAGCATGGGCCACCACACCCACTGAAGCAAGGAGCTACAGGTTTCATTCTCTTCCTTGCATAGGTCCTCAAATCACCTTGTGCGTTCAGAGAGCCTCGTCCAATCATCCCCAAGGCAGTGCTGGAGTTTCAGGAGCGGCCACCAGGGTCCTGGATCTGCCTGCTCAATGAGGGGGACACACCCATTCCTGGCAGTGATTACAAAAAGTGAACAGGGGTGGGGAAGCTGAGGGGACCAGAGAGGCTGGGGAGAGGGTGCCTGGCCCTGTAGAGAAGAGAAGCTTCTATTATGACCTCTAGTTTAAACTAGTTATGGTGGTGCATATTTGTAATCCCAGCAATTCAGTAGGCTGAGGCAGGAGGATCTTAAGTTGAAGGCCAGCCTCAGCAGCTTACACAGGCCCCATCTCAAAAACAACAAAAGCACCTAGTTTATAGGGGGTAAGATACCGAGGCTCAAATACATGTCACTTTTCTGGGATCATTTAGTCGGTTGGTAGCACGACCCGGGTGGATGCAGGTGAGAGGTCCCCCCAACGCACTGGTGGAGGTTCAACAGTCTGAGAGGTCTACGTCCTCCCTAGGCCTCCATGACGCCCTTTCTGAGGTCACCCTCAGCACGTGCCCGCCTTGGCGCTGTAGGAAGACACACGGTTAATGAAACATGATGGCGTTCTCAAAGCCCACGAAGCTGAGTTCAGGATGGCGAGGTCTGCCAGACAGCGAAGGCCACTAGGGGAACGAACATGCGCACTGAAAGTACGGCTGCCCAAAGCCCAGGGAGGGGCTGACAGGGTCCCATTCCGAGGTTTTTGTGGCCGTAAGAATCCTGAAATAGGAACTCTGAACGCACGGAGAGACTATAATCTCTGGGGACTTGAAGGGGGAACGGTGTCAGGAGGCGAGAACACACATGGAAGGGCCTTCTCCTTTGAGTCCCACTACGGTGGCCAGAGAGGTTCCTTTAAAGCAGGAGGGGCGTGGTTCGGGCGGGATGTTTTGAAATGTTACGGTGGCCGGAAAAGTTCAAGAACCTTGGAATGAAAAACAGAAACGCGGACCGAAGCGGGCAGGAGGGCGTGGAAAGCTTATACAAATCGAAAAGGCGGGTTAACTCGAGAGACAGAATGAACAGAATTTGTGGAAAGTGAACACGTTGTTCCAAAAGTCCTGGAACTTCGGTGCATTCAGTGTTTATTCCAGGTGAAAACAAACAAGCTGCAGGGCAGAGTGGGGAGAGGCGAAGTACGGTGGCTAATTTGGTCCTTTCATAGCCGGAAATGGAACTTTGGGAAGGCGTGGCTGCGGCGCTCTTGGCGGATACGGTGGCCCATTGGGTCGGGCAAATTGTGAAATCTCGCGCGATTGAGCTGCTGCCGTCGGGGACGGGGCGGGGCTGGCGGCGGGGGCGGGGACCCGGAGCGGGAAGATGGCGGCGGCGCAGGAGGCGGACGGGGCCGGCAGCGCCGTAGTGGCGGCCGGGGGAGGCGGCTCCGGTCAGGTACGGAGGCCGAGAGGGGCCTGAGGGGGCTCTTCCCCAGCCGGGGGGCCTCCCACGGGGCGTGTCCTGCCTCTCTTCGCAGAATCTGGTGCATTGGGGGCTCCTTGGCTAGAGGGACCTTGAATATCGGGCCCAGGCGGGGCCGGGCCGCCCGGGAGGCCGGACAGTGGCGGGAACGGGGCCCTGTTGCGCGCCCGGTCCCCTGCACGCTCGTGCCGGACTCCCACTAGACTCTTCATTCCGCCCGGGGAGATCGTGGCGCGGTGGGGCGCAGGCTTGTTCCCAGGAGCCCTAGGTTCTTGACTCTGCGATTCCAGGCTCCAAGACCATTCCTAGAGTGGTCTGACGTCCTGGGTCTCGCCCGCCGTGCCTGACATGTGGGCAGTGGGTAATTGGAAGTTTTCTAGCTCTGGGGAAATCAGGTGATTATTGTGGGTTAGGGCAAAGGCTGTGGAAGCCAGTAGACCCATTTTACAGAAGGAATCCGAGAAACAGCGAGACTAAGGTGCTTGGAGAAGGTCACCCAGGTTAAGTTTGGCATCCATTCCATGTAGAACCTGATCCAGGGTGTCTGGACTGGCATGGGGATGCTTTTAGCATAAACTGACCCTGTGGGGGAATGGGTCCAAGTACAGACGACTGCTGACCCATTGTTGCCTAAACTAAACTGAGGCTGTAGAGCATACCAGGTAGGCAGCCACCATTCAGGCATCTGGGGAATGGATGGAGTGACAGCAAGGTGCTGTCGACCCACCCACTGGATGTCACTGACATGTGGGAGGCAGCTCAGGGGAGAGAAGTGCAGGTTGGGAGGGGAGAATGAGGCTGACTGTCTCTGTGACCTTGGGCAAGTTCCTTTCTTTCTTTGGGCCTTCGTTTCTCCAGTGATTAGTGGAGGTCGTGGACCGGAGGGCTAGTCCTGTGATGGGCCACAAAGATGACTCCAGCCATGTTCCTGCTGTCTGGGGAGTGGGAGAGGAGACTGCCATAAACAAAGAGTTATGATCTTGGATGACTTGGGTGGTGACAGAAGTCTGGGTCAGGGACTCAGGGAGCCCAAAGGAGGACAAATAATATCACCTGGGGAGGATGCCAGGAGAAATTTGGGGATAGAGCCCATCCCATCTGGACTGGATCTTTTCAGCATTTCAGGGCTTGGCAACTCAGGAAATGGTGAAGTTCCTGTTGGAATGAAAACATAGGCCCTGTCTTCAGGAGCTTCCCAGTGTTTCAGAAAGGAGGTCTTTCCTCCTCTCATGGGTGGGGGTGGCTGCAGAGACCATAGCTCAGGTTGCCTTGAACTTCCAGAAACCTAGATCTTCTTTTGTCCATCTCTGCTTGAAAGTTGTCAATGCTTACCCTTGGCCTTTAGGAAAAAGTACATTTTTTTTTTTAAAGCAGATTGAGGCCTTGCATGATCTGACTCTTATTTATATTAAACTAGGATTTCTCAAGTCTGGTGCTATTGAAATTTTAGATTGAACAGTCTTTGTTGTGGGGAGCTGCCCCATGAACCTGAGGATGTTCAGCAACATCTGTGGGCTCTACACTAGATGTCAATAGCATACACACCCCTCCCTCTTTGTGACAACCAAAAATGTCTCCTAATGTTGTGAATGCCCCCTGGGAGGGGGACAGAATCCCTCTTGCTTGACAACCACTAGACTAGAGGAGGACGAGCCACTGTGAAACTCCCCAGTTCCAGCCGTGTGCCCAGATCTCTTTCCTCACAGCCTTTCCATGTTTCTCCCTCTTCACTTGGGTGATCTTTACTAATCCTCCAGATCTCAGATGTCTTCTCCCCCGGAATGCTCTCTCTGATCCTCTCAGACTGGTCAAGTGCCCCCTCTGGGGTCCCCCCTCCCAGGCTGCCCACTGTCTGGGAACAGGTGTGGGTGTGTGTATTCCACTGAGGTGGGAGCCCTAGGAGAGCAGAGCCAGGACTATCTTGGTCACCATTGTGTCCCTAGCACTGCTCTGCTTAGGGCCGGGCACGAGGAGATGCTCAGGGTTTGTGGAATTAATGGGTCTTGAACCAGAAGCTGGGCTGAGGTGAGGTTCCCCAGAGCGGGAGCGCGGCTTCCTCCCGTCCTGCCAACAGCAGCAGCTGCTTCCTGGGCCCTTGGGGATGTTCCCAGGTGTTGTGTGTGAGATTGGACATGCAGGCCCAAGAGTGGGCGCTCTGTCTTAGTCACTTGATATGTTCACTGTCCCCGCTGCCGTCCACCAACTCGAGGGCCTAACACAGCCCCAGAGTGGGCAGACCCTCGCCCAGTCGTGTGCGCCAGCCAGCTTGCTCGTCTCAGCCAGGAGCTCAGGCCTAGAGCCCACAGCGCCACCGTTGAATCCTTGAGCTGATACGGTGGAATCAGCACTGCCTGCCGGGGACACAGCTGTGGACAAACAGGCCCTGCCCTCCTGGAAGCCCTGCTCCCCTAGAGGCTGGGGAGGAGGGAAGTATGAACAGGGACGAGTAGTAACAAGATAAATAAGAAGAACACACAGCGTCCTAGGTGGCAGCAAGTGCCGTGGACAGAAGTGAAGCTGCGGTGGGGACGCGCAGCGAGGGGTGGTGGGAGGGAGAGCTGCAGTTAATGTTTTTGGTTCTGGAGGTTGAACCCAGGCCAACAGCCCCATCCTTCCTTTTCCTTTCCTTTCTTTCTTTATTATTATTATTATTATTATTATTATTATTTTGGTTGGTTGGTTTGTGGACACAGGGTCTCACCAGGGTGCTAAGGCTGGCCTCAAACTTGCCGCCATCCTGCCTCAGCCTCCTGAGTTGTTAAAGTCTTGTTGTTGTTGTTGTTGTTGTTTTGTACTGGGGATTGAACACAGGGGCATTCTCCCACTGAGCCACATCCCTGTTCCTTTTTATTTTTTTATTTTTGAGACAGGGCCTTGTTAAGTTGCTAAGGCTTTGAACTTGCGATCCTCCTGCCCCAGCTTCCCGTGTTACTGTGATCACAAGCATAGACTGTTATGCCTGACTGGCTGCAGTTTAAAGAGGTGGTCCAGGAAGGCTTCTCTGAGGAGGTGACACTTGACTAAAGACCTAAAGGAGGTGTGGGAGGGAAAAACTTTTCAGGTAAACGGGGTGAGCACGCTTGCTGTGGTGTAGGAAGAGCCAGCAGCTGGCTGCGCCTCTGGAGAGGGAGGAGGGGGCACTTACTTTGCTAGGCCACTGAAGACTTGGCCTTTACTCTTTGACAAAGAGGAGTCATTAGAGGTCTTTCCCTCTTTATCTAAGTATTACTGAGCTACTGTGAACTTGTCTGTGTTGGTGGACGGCAGACTGGCCTTTAGCACAGTTGTGCAGTGGACAACCTCACAGTCTGGCCTGAGAATCAGTCCTTCCTCGGAATCCACAGGAACTAGTCCCAGGACTCCCCTCTCCCCACAGCCTGGCCTGCTCCAGGCCTTTATGTAAAATGCTATGATATTTGCATACAACCTACTCGGAGGTCATTTCTAGAGGACTCACAATATCTAATATAATGTAAATACTATGTAAACAGAACAGGAGCATGGCCTGTAACCCAGCAATTCTGGAGGCTGAGGCTGGAGGATGTGTCAAGGCCAGCCTCAGCAAGATGGCAACACCCTGTCTTAAAATAAAAATTAAAAAGGACTGAGGATGTGGCTCAGTGGTAAAGTGCCCCTGGGTTAATCCCCAGTACCAACAAAAAAAAACCAAACAAAGCTTTACTGTATTCTTTAGGGTGAATGATAATAAGAAAAAGTAAAAGTCAGTACAAATGCAAATCCCCCCACCTGGATATTTTCCATCCACAACAGGTGGAATCCTTGGATGCAGAACCACTAATGTGGGACCAACTGGACTTTATCTCCTTCAAAAGCTCCCCCATCTCCTCACTACTCCCCCTGTCTTTGGTACCAGGGATCGAACCCAGGGGCACTTACCCACTGAGCCACATCCCCAGCCCTTTTTTATATTTTATTTAGAGACAGGGTCTTCTAGGATCTTGCTGAGTGGCTGAGGCTGGCTTTGCACTGGCAATCCTCCTGCCTCAGCCTCCCGAGCCACTGGGATTACAGGTGTGTGCCATCTCACCTGGACCCAGCCTTCTTTGCTTTGAGTCAGGGTCTCACTATGTTCCAGCACTGGCCTTGAACTTTTAGTCCTCTGGAATTACAGAAATGTGCCACCACATCCAGTCCCTCACCCATACTTTTCCCTCTTGAGAGAATACCTGTCCTTGGGCTCCCTGTGGGGCTCCCTGTCTCCGCCTGAGGGTCTGACACAGATGTCAAAAGTAGCTCCTCGGGTCCTCGCTGATCACCCAGGCCACCCTGCGCCCTACCTACCCCTGCCCCGGTGGCTGTCACTCTCCCTTCTTGTTTCTGCAGAGCACTCTCCGGTTCTCCAGGCCTGCCTGTCTTCCCTCTGGTCCCTGGGTCTAGGCCGAGACCTCCGTGGTCCCACCCCCAGGCACAGGGCCTGGGGCTCAGAAGGTGTACAGGGAGCACAGTCTTCAAGGAAAGCTTTTCTCCCCGCTTGGTACCAGCATTTTTATAACCTGGCCCTCAGGCCAGGGAGGCAAAGTGACATGTCCTTCCAAGGTGTCGTAGTCAAGAACTGGGGGACCAGGACCACAGCTATGTCTGACCCTGGAGCCCCACTTCTGACTTCAGTGTTGATCTGTGCTTTGGGAAATGGCAGGAAAGAGCGTCTTCTGGTGATGGGGACAGGAGGTGACAACAAACACCTGTAACGCGCCAGCCCCAGCCTTCGCCCTGTACCCCAGGCATGTGCTGTCTGCCAGGCGAAGTGGACAGAAAGACCTTGCAGCAGGCCTCGGGAAAGGGAGGGCGGGTCCTTTGGGGACAGCAGGTGCCATGTATTTGTCGGCTGTTCTCGTGCTCCTCCTGGTGCTGGCCCTGTGCTGGTCAGTACTCCTGAGTAGACTGGCCCTCAGCTCTGGTTCTGTCTCCTGATGGGCGAGGGGCTGCTGGCAGGGGGACAGGGACGGGATGGGGAAGCCAGCAGGGTCCCTGCTCACACTCCCACACCCACTCCTTAGGGGTTTTCTGATTCTGAACATTGTTTCAGTGAGGACTCTTGTGGCCTCCCTGCCCCTGTCATCCTGCTGTCGTCTTCGTCCTTCCAGAGTGACCCAGACCAGTAGCTTAACCTCTGGAGCTCAGTTCTGCCTGGAGCAGTTTGGAGTCCGCCCCGGCTCTGTGCGTGTTCAGGGCGCCCACCTCCCTGCATGGCTCCCATTCAACCTATGTGCCCCGTGTCACCTCTGGACCAGCAGCCCCTGGAGGGCAGGACTGGGCTCAGGAGGCTTCAGGAACTATTTGCCCAGGGAAGGGCCTTTCAGACAAACCGCAGCCTTGCAGTCTGGCCCCTGTCACAGACCCCTTGTCTTGTCTCCAGTAGACGCCTCCTGTGTCCTGGCCGCAGCCTCAGGGAGTAGTGGCGGCCCCCAGCCTCACACGGCTGCTGTTACCTCTGTTTCTGCACCTGCCCCGCCCTGCCCCCGCCTCCTGCGCCTACCAGTTGCTGCAGTTTCCATCTCAGCTCCCTGAGCCCTGGCCTGGCTCAGGTGTCCTTTTCCTGCATCCCAGCCCTGCCCGCTTTGGGTCACCACTGTCTAGAGATAGGTCTGTCTCCCCTGGGTTATAGATCCCCAGGAGGTCAGCACAGGGCTGTCTGGGTCACCACTGTGTCCCCAGCACAGAGGAGGCACTCGGAGTATTTTCCTCCTGAGAAGAAAATCCAGCTCCCTGCCCGGAGCGTTCATCTGTCCACTCTCTGGCTGTTGGTCGAGCCTTCTCTGTGCCCGGCCCTCCTGGGCCTTGGTGGGTGGTGGTGCCTAAAATAGCCCTGTCTCATGTCCCGTTCCCTCTCCTAACTCTGGTGTGTGTCCCCCACAGGTGACCAGCAATGGCAGCATTGGGAGGGACCCGCCGGCGGACACCCAACCCCAGAACCCAGCACCCCAGCCAGCACCCAATGCCTGGCAGGTCATCAAAGGCGTGCTGTTCAGGTGAGCAGCTGGGGAACTTCAAATAAGGAAAGCATAAGGGTCGGGTGCCGCTTGAACATCTGGAGTCCCCGTAACTTGGCAGGCTGAGGCAGGAGGGTCACAAATTCAAGTCCAGCCTGGGCAACTTAGCAAAACCCAGTCTCAAAATAAAGAATACAGTGTGGAGCACTTGCCTAGCACGTGTAACGCTCTGGGGCCAAGCCCTGGTGCCATTAAAAAAAGAAAAAACTGGGTGCAGTGATGTACATAGGCCTATAATCCCAGTGGTTTGGGAGGCTGAGGCAGGAAGACTGCACGTTCAAATCCAGCCTCAGCAACTCGTGAGGCCCTGAGCAACTTAGTGAGACCCCACCTCAAAATGAAAAATAAAGACTGGTCTAGGAGTAAAGTGTCCCCATGTTCAGTTGCCAGTACCCCCCTCCCCACCCCCACCCCCGAAAAAAAAAAAAAAAGCAAAGCAAAAGGAAGAAAGGAAGACTCACCTGAGGGTGATGATCATTGCCCACTGGGAGAGGGTGACTTTTTTTTTTTTTTTAATACTTTTTAGTTGTAGATGGACACAATACTTTCATTTATTTTTTTTAATGTGGTGCTGAGGATCGAACCCTGCACCTCACACATGCTAGGCGGGCCCCCTGCCCCTGAGCCACAGCTTCAGCCCAGAGGTTTACTTTTCGTGTGATAGAATTTCATTTTCTCGCAGTGCTGGGATGCACACGGGAGCCTGTGCTCACCACTGCTGAGCCACATCCCCAGCCCTCTTCTTTTTTTGTTCTGGGTCCTAATCTCTCTTTCTCTCTCTCTCTCTTTTTTTTAATGTTTATTTTTTAGTTTTAGGTGGGCACAATATCTTTATTTTATTTTTATGTGGTGCTGAGGATCAAACCCAGGGTCTCACGCATGCCAGGCGAGCGCGCTACCACTTGAGACACATCCCGAGCCCCCCTAATCTCTCTCTCTCTCTTTTTCGTGGGCAGTGCTGGGGATTGAACCCAGGGCCTTGTGCATGGGAGGCACAAACTCTACGAACTGAGCTATACCCCCAGCCCCCCTGGGTCCTAATCTCTTATAAGGAATCCAGTCATGGTGGATTAGGATCTCATGTACCCGAATAACATCTTAATTTCAATTTTATTCTGATTTGTGGTACTGGGGATTGAATTCAGGAGTGCTCTGTCACTGTCACACATTCCTAACCCTTTTTATTTTTTGTTTTGCCACAGGGTCTCACTAAGCTTAATGAGAGCAGCTTTCAAATTTATGACCCCCTGCTTTGGCCTCCCAAGTAGCTGCAGTTCCAGTAGCTGTGCCTGGCCTTGTTTATTTAAAAGGTTTTACTCATTGTGCTGAGGGTCAAATCCAGGGCCTCATGCATACTAAGCACATGTCTACTGCTAAATTGCCTATTGATTATTATTTATTATTATTGCCATCTCTAAACATAGTCACTGAGGTACTAAGAGTTATTCCTTCAACACAGGAATTTTGGGGAACATAACTCAGTCTGCAACCTCTACAGAGAAAATTTACTGTTTTAAGGTTGGGAGTATTGCTTAGTGATAGACCACTTGCCTAGTGTGCTCAGAACCCTGCCTTCAATCCCCACAAGTGCAAAAGAAGACAAAAATTGACCATTTTAACTATATATATGTATTTTCTTTGCAAGGGTGGTGGGGAGACAGGGAATTAAACCCAGAGACACTTTACCATTAAGGTACATCCCAAATCCTTTTTTTTTTTTTTAATATATATTTTTTTATTTTTTAGTTGTAGTTGGACACAATACCTTTATTTTATTTATTTTTATGTGGTGCTGAGGATTGAACCCAGTGCCTCGCACATGCTAGGTGAGCACTTTACCACTGAGCCACAACCCCAGCCCCAGTCCTTTTAATTTTTTAATTTGAGACAGGGTATTGCTAAATTGCTGGCCTCAAACTGGCTACCCTGCCTACGTCGTCAGAGTTCCTGGGATTACGGGTGTGCGCCATCATGTCCAGCTATTTTAAGCCTTTCTAAGTGTAATCTCCTGTGATATTAAGTATATTCACATTGCCAGAGATGGCACACTCCTGTAATCCCCGTGACTTGGGAGGCTGAGGCAGGAGGAACACAAGTTCAAAGCCGATCTGGGCAACTTAGCGAGACCCTGTCACAGAATAAAAAATAAAATGGACTGGGGTTTTAGCTCAGTGGTAAAGTATCCCTGGGTTCAATCCCTAGAACCCCCAAAATAAAAATAAATAAAAAACAAAAGGACTGGGGTGTATCTCAATGTAGAGTGCCCAGTTGCACCCCCAGACCCCACCAGATGCAGAAGTACATTCACCCCGATAGATGCCTGTCACACTGTTCACCTTCCCAAACTGAAACCCACTAAATACAGACTCCCCACTTTGTCTTCTCACTGCCTTCTGACATCTATCTGTATACTCTGTGTGTGTGTGTGTGCGTGTGTGTGTGCATGTCTCTCTCTTTTTTGGCACTAGAGATTGAACCCAGGGACGCTTTAGCACTGAGCCACACCCCCAATTTTTAAATTTTGACACAGGGTGTTGTTAAGTTGCCAAAGGTCTTGCTGAATTGCTGAGACTGGCCTTGACCTTGTGGTCCTCTGGATTACAGGCATGTACCACCATGTCTACTTCTGTCCCTGTGACTTTTTATTTTATTTTTTTAACTTTTTAGTTGTAGTTGGACACAATACCTTTGTTTTATTTATTTATTTTTATGGGTGCTGAGGATCAAACCCAGGACCTCACATGTGCTTGGTAAGCGCTCTACTGCTGAGCCCCAGCCCCAGCCCCCTGTCCCTGTGACTTTTACTGCTTTGGTTAGCTCTGATGAACGGTCAGCCTTTGTTTTCCTGTGACAGGTGATGGTATCTTCTTGCGTATGGATTCTCATGTTCCTTCCAACAGTGGGACTCAGGGTTGTGCCCTCAGTGTCTAGTTGGGGGGATAATAGGTGGGAATGGGGTGGTATATCTGGCACTTGGTTTTGTCCCTGTCTGTCTACACCTAGTGACAGGCCCTTTTTCTGTTCTGTGCCCTTATTTACCCATCTGTAAAATGGACATTTCTTTGTTCTCTTCTTTTGGAGAGGTACTTCAGTAAAATGGTCAGAAGACCAGGCCATACAGTCAGTTCTCTTTTAGCTGTGAGAAATTACACAGCAGAAAGGTGTAAGTTTTGTTTTCTTCCTTTCCTTCAGGGGCACTCTACCACTGAGCCACATCCCCAACACTGTTTATATTTATTATTTGAGACAGGGTTTCTCAAAGTTGCCTGGCTGGCCTCAAACGTGGGATCCTCTGGCCTTAGCCTCCTGAGTCGCTGGCATTACAGGTGTGCCCGCCATCCCCTTAGCTAGAATGTCTGCACATCACCAGGGCCGGCCACAGGGAAGGCTGGGAAATGTACTCTTTATTCTGGGGACCCAAGCACCTTGCTGAAAAGCAGTGATTCTCTTCCTAAAGTGAAAGGAGGGTGATTCTGTGGGGGCAGGGATCCGTCTATAGATTGTTGGGCAGATCTGAAATTTATTAGATTTCCTCTAAATTTGTAAATCATATGTACTTATTGTATAAAATAAAACAATTTAGACAACTAGAAGAGTATAAAGAAAAATGAGGGGCCTGAGCTTAGCTCAGTGGTACAACATTTCCCAAGTCCTCTGAAGCCATGTGGGGTCTGCATACACCCTGCTCACAGGCTCCTGTTTACTCCATTATTTTGGAGGGGAGAGAAAGGAATGGAACCCAAGGATGCTTTACCGAACCTCATCTCCAGCCCTTTTTTTTATTTCTTATTTAGAGACAGGGTCTGGCTAAATTGCCTAGGGCTTTGCCAAGTTCCTGAGGCTGGCTTTTGAACTTGCCATCCTCCCTAGTCACTGGGATCACAGGTGTGCGGCGCCATGCCTGGCTTTCCCGTTTACTTTCAGTCATCCCTAGGTCTCTTGGAATGCCTAACACAGTGTGCATGCTGTGTTAGCATGTAACAGGTGTTACACTGTACTGTTCAGGGAATAATGAGATGAAAAAGGTTTATACATGTTCAGAAGCAGTTTTTATTTTTGAATGCTTTCCATCTGCGGTTGGTTCATTTCACGTAAGTGAAACCTGCAGCTCTGGAGGGCCGACACTAAAGAAAAGGCGGGACTATTGGTTGGTGGCCATCTGGTGAGCACATACCTAGTAATTGGCCCTAAGCGGGTCACATTAGGATGCTCAAAGACAAACTTGTTTAAGAAAAATTATGAGCTACCCACTTGTCCAAAATAGCGAATCAGCTATCATCATTTGGGGCGGAAAAGGTTGGGGGCACGGGTGGCTCCGATTGCATGGGAGAGCCGGCCTCAGCACGGCTCTGTCACCTCTCAGCTGTGGCACATGCTCAGGTGATCACCTTTCCTGTGCCTCAGTTTCCATCTCACAGACGGGAGCGCTGACCGAGGGTCATCAAATGGATTCCATGAGAATCCATGTCACTAGTGTGGCATTGCTTTCATTGTTCAATTAAAAAAAAAAAAACGACCTTATGGACTGGGACTGGGGCTGGGGCTCAGCGGCAGAGCGCTCGCCTAGCACGTGTGAGCCCTGAGTTCGATCCTCAGCACCACAAAAAAATAATTAAACGAAATATACTGTGTCCATGTATAGCTAAAAAATAACCCACAAAATCTGACGCAGTTGTCAATCACATTCTGCCGTGGGACAGGGTCATCTGCCTGGTGTCCTCCAAGGGTGGCACATAGCCAGGCATGGTGGCACATCCTGTAATCCCGGTGGCTCAGGAGGATGACAAGTTCAAAGCCAGCCTCAGCAACTTAGCAAGACCCTGTCTGAAAATAAAAAGGGCTGGGGCTGGGGCTCAGTGGTGGAGCACTCCTGGGTCAATCCTTGGAGTCCCACAGGCTACCGGGAGCTGTGCAGGAAGAACTCTCTTCTGGGTGTTCAGCCCCTAAGCCTGGGCGCGCTCCTGCCGCTGGCGCCCCAGGCTTCTCCGCGAGCTCCTTTCCCCCTCCCTTCCCCGATGGCCACGTAACGATTTAGGATCTTATTCTGTGTCACTCATTTTTCACGGCCCAGCAGCTCTGCATAGATTACTTGTGTCCTTCCCTTCATTTTTACAGAAGAAGCAGGCTGTGTCACACACTGGCCTCTCCTTGGTGTTTTCTCATTAGCAAGGTATCTGAGAAATCTTTCTGCATCAGTACAGAAGGGAGCTTGCCGCGGATGAAAGAGCTCTAATACAGACTCACCGCAGGCTCGTTTCCTCCCTGAGAACCAGCCGGCGCCGCCGTCAGTTGGGTGGATGCACACAGACCATTTTGTCTGGAGTCATCTTTGTTTTTAAGGTAGACACAGTATCTTTATTTTACTTTTATGTGGTGCTCAGAATCGAACCCAGTGCCTCAAGCATGCTAGGCGAGCACGTTACCGCTTGAACCACACCCCCAGCCCTGGAGTCAGCCCCAGCACTTCTTATTATTTATTTTGAGACGGGGTCTTGTTAAGTTGCTGAGGGTCTTGCAAAGTTGCTGAGGCTGGCCTCAAACTTGTAGTCCTCCTGCCTCAGCCTCCCGAGTTGCTGGGATTACAGGTTTGCTCCACCATATCTGGCAGTGCTTTTTATTTTCAATTTTGATTTAGGGTCTCAATGAGTAGCCCCAGGCTGGCCTTGAATTTATGAGCCTCCCAAGTAACTGGGATTAAAGGCATGTACCACCGCCGCTGCCCCTGCCTGTCTGCACACCCCACCCCACCCCACCCCAGTGCTGGGAATGGAAGCCAGGGCCTTCACACCTTAGGCACACACTCTACCTTTGAGTACTTTTTTATTTTATTTTCAGACAGTTCTCACTACGTTTCCTAGGCTGGCCTCAAACTTGTCATCCTCCCATCTGTGTGGAGTTCTTAAATTGAGGGTTTATTTTCAGGGTCCCTGAACTCCTCACAGCTTTAGGGAGATTATGTGAAATAGGCTCTGGGGACGGGTGGCATGTGTGCATTTGAGCTTGTCCTCAAACTAGACCCGTGGTTGCTGGGGTGGAGATGGCCAGCACTGGGTGTATAAAGGAGTGGGGAGACGGAGGGTTTGTTTTCTTTTGTTTTTTCCCTCTCCATCACTCAGGGATTGAACTCAGGGGTGCTTCACCACAGAGCTACATCCCAGCCCTGTTTATTTATATTTTGAAACAAGGACTTACTAGGTGGCTGAGACTGGCTTTGAACTTATGATCCTCCTGCCTCGGCCTCTGGAGTCACTGGGATTACAGGCGTGCTTTCCGGTGTCCAGCTAGGAGGTTTTTTGTTTTTTTTTTTGTACAGGGAATTGAACTGAGCCTCCTCCCCAGCCCATTTTGTATTTTATTTAGAGACAGGGTCTCGCGGAGTTGCTGAGCACCTTGTACCTGGCCAGCTAGGAGTTTTAATTTATGTCTTTTCATACATTTACAAGTTTCCAGCTGAGCATGGTGATGCACACCTGTAATCCCAGAGACTCAGGAGCCTGAGTCAGAAGGATCACAGGTTTGAGGCCAACCTGGACCACTCTAGAGCACTCGTCTCAGTAAAATACAAACAAAGGGTGCTGGGCTGGGGCTCAGTGGCGGAGCACTGGCCTAAGCTGCTGAGACCCAGGTTCAGTTCCTAGTAATGAGAAAAAAGGGAAGAAATCATATTTACAACTTTTTTGAACTGGTGGCTGTAGGGCGGTAGTTGGGGTGGGAGGGAGGGAGGGAGGACTTAAAGTCTGTTTTATTTGCTTACTCGGGTAAATTGAAAAATGTCAGGAGGGTCCAGGCCCTGTAGGCCTGGCTCCATGAGCAGAGGACCGTGTCTGTGAGCCTTCCACAAAGGCCCTGAAGACCATGGTGACACATGTTCTCCAGAGAACTAGGGAATGGAGCCCAGAGGGATGGGGACCTCCATGGGCTCCTCACTAGGCAGGATGGAGCTGCCTGTGGGTGTCTGTGCTCCCAAATGTTCCTGGGAGTATTTACGAAAATGGGAACTTCTCGTGGAGGCGGTTGGGTCCCCAGAGAATGCCAGCCGTTGTGCCTCAGGGACTTTTGGGGAGGCAGCAGGTGGCTGAGCTAGGCCACGGCCCCTGAGACCCCAGACCCCTGGGCCTCATGGCTTCTGCAGGCAGAGGCAAGTCCCTGCGCCTGACCAAGCTCAGTTGGGGGGCAGCCCGCCCATGCCAGCGGAGCACCCGGTCCTTTTCCACTTTACAGCTTTTGTTTTTGTGGTGCTGGGGATGGAGCCCAGGGCCTTGTGCATAACAGGTGGGTGCTCCCACCGAGCTGCATCCCAGCTCAAAATCCAGGCTTCTCAGCTGGACATGGTGGCACGTGCCTGTAATCCCAGCCGCTGGGAGGCTGAGGCAAGAAGATGGCAAGTTTGAGGCCAGCCTCAGCAATTCAGTGAGACCCTGTCTCAAATTTATAAAGGAGGCTGAGGATATGGCTCAGTGGTAGAGCACCCCTGGGCTCAGTCCCTAGTGTCTGTCTCTCTGTTTTCCTCTCTCTCTCTCACACACACACACTCTCAAACACACGCACACACTGAGCCACATCCCCAGCCCGTTTTATATTTTATTTAAAGACAGGGTCTCGCCAAGTTGCTGAGGCTGGCTTTGAACTTGCATTCCTCTTGCCTCAGCCTCCTGAGCCGCTGGGATTACAGGTGTGTGCCACTGTGCCCAGCCTCTTTGTTGTTTTTTAGGAAGACAGGGTCTCGCAGTGTTGCCCAGGCTGGCCTGGAGCTCCTGGGCTCCAGGGATCCTCCTGCTTCGGCCTCCTGAAGACTGGTACTGCAGGCATGCACTACCGCGCCTGGCTGGTTTTTTTTTTCCCCCCTCTGAATATGAATTTTATTTTATTTTTTTTAAAGAGAGAGAGAGAGAGAGAGAGAGAGAGAGAGAGAGAGAGAGAATTTTAACATTTATTTTTTAGTTTTCGGCGGGCACAACATCTTTTGTTTGTATGTGGTGCTGAGGGTCGAACCCGGGCCGCATGCATGCCAGGCGAGCGCGCTACCGCTTGAGCCACATCCCCAGCCCTATGAATATTTTTTATCTGAGCTTGGTTGGCTATGGATGCAAAACCTGCAGATACCGAGGGCCAAATGTAATCTCATTTTCTCAATATTTGTAATTAACAAATATAAAATGTGTTGATATATTCTTAGTATATTAATTGATTTTTCATTTTTATTTTTTATTTTATTTAAAAATTTTTTTCTAGTTGTAGATGGACAGACACAATATCTTTGTTTTTATTTATCTTTAATGGGGTGCTGAGGATCGAACCCAGGGCCTCATACGTGAGAGGCAAGCACTCTATCACTAGCCACAATCCCAGCCCTATTGATTTTTTTTGAGCCCTTTCAGTTCTTTTTATTTAAATTTATTTTTTAGTTGTAGTTGAACGCAATACCTTTATTTTATTTATTTTTATGGGTTGCTGAGGATCGAACCCAGGGTCTTGCATGTGCTAGGCGAGTGCTCTACTGCTCAGCCCCAGCTCGAGCCTCCTCAGTTCTTTTTATATATATATATTAATTAGTCGTAGGTGGACACAGTGCCTTTGATTAATTAATATATTTTTTGTGTGGGGCTGAGGATGAAACCAGGACCTCCCCTGTGCTAGGCAAGCGCTCCACCACTGAGCCACACAGCCCTGCTCCCTCTGTAGTCCTCGTTGAGGGCCGAGTGGGTCTGAAGGACCTCACCTTGTGGCTAAAAAGGAGGACTAACCCATTACTTACCACCATTTCTCCAGTTTTCAGTTGATTTGAAGTTTGAAAATGTTCCTTCTTGTAAGGTTGTAAGGTTTTGTGTCCCTGAAATATTGGGACTCCAGATTCCTAGGATTCTCTCTCGCAGGGACCCCGGGGGTTGGGGCAGGTGCTTCTCAGGTGTGGGAGCTCGTGAGGCCACGTGACTGCCCAAAGCCCCTGGGGGAGTCAGGGTGGCCCCATGTGGAGCCAGGCAGTGCCGGGCCCCCAGCACCCACTGGCACCTGGGCCTACCTCCACACCTCACTTGGGGTCCTCTTGCCATCTCAGCTGCCTTGTGACTGACTTTTTGGGGACCCTCCCCCACTCGGTCACAGTCCCTAGCCAGACCCTGGAGTGCAGGTGCCCAGTGAGGCGCTGGGTTGCTGGGGGCAGGCCGGTGGCTCAGCCTGTGTGCTTTCTCCTCAGGATCTTCGTCATCTGGGCCATCAGCAGCTGGTTCCGCCGAGGGCCGGCCCCTCAGGACCAGACGGGCCCCGGGGGAGCCCCACGTGTCGCCAGCCGCAACCTGTTCCCCAAAGACACTTTAATGGTAACTGCTGGGTGGGAGGTGGTGTGGGTGGTGGAGGAGTGACAGTGCCGGATGTCGGGAGGGAGCAGACCCTGGCCACCGCTGGCTTGTGAGCAGGCAGGGGCCGGGCCCGGGCCACCAGCAGGTGCAGCCTGTGCCACGTGGAAGGAAATGGTGAGCTCCTTGGGCTTTTTGTTTAGTGCGGTTGATGTTGAGGCAGGACGCCAAAGACTTCACTCAGTTATTTAAAAACTGTCCCAGCAGGGCGTTAGCTGTAATTCCAGAAGTCTGTCCAGCCCTTAGAGGTTGTGATGGGAGACACGCAGGGGAGCGGGGAGGGACGGGGGACAGGGGACGGAGGGCCGGCACCAGGCAGCCCAGGAGCCTCCACCACAGGCCTTGGCCTGGGCCTCTCCCTGGGGTTCTGCGCGGCTCCCAGGCAGCTTCCCAGGGTTCTGGTGGGAGGTGACCCCTGCAGAGCTGTTCTTGAGTAGGCCCTCGGGAGTGCAGACTAAGATGGCCTGGGCAAGGAGGGTGTTCTGCAAAGCCTGCCCCCTCCCAAGTCACTAGCCCTGGGGCCTGCACGTAAAGGGGGGCCAGTCGAGGAGGGGGTTATCCAGGGAGGTCCTGCCTCTTAAAATTTTTTCTTTCTTTCTTTTCTATTCTTTTTTTTTTTTTTTTTTTGGTATTGGTGTTTGAATCAGGGTGCTTTACCATTGAGCTATATTTTTTGTTTTGAGACAGGGTCACACTTAGTTGCTGAGGCTGGTCAAACTTGTGATCCTCCTGCCTCAGCCTCCTGATTCAGGCATGCACCACCACACCTGGCTCCTGCCAGCCTGAGGTGCTTTATGCTCATGGATGTCAGACTCAGAGCAGGACAGGCAAACCTGTGTCAGTGTGCCAGCCCCTGCCCCCAGCTCTTCCTCTGCTTTTTATCTGTCAGCCTTCAGAGGCTCTGAGCTCTGCACTCTTCCCGTCTCCACAGAACTTGCACGTGTACATCTCGGAGCACGAGCACTTTACAGACTTCAACGCCACATCAGCCCTGTTCTGGGAGCAGCATGACCTCGTGTACGGAGACTGGACTAGTGGCGAGAACGCCGACGGCTGCTACGAGCACTTCGCCGAGCTTGACATCCCGCAGGTGGGTGCCCGTGGTCCTGGCCCCACTGGGGGCGCCTCCCGCGGGTCTAGCCCTGAGGTCCCTGGGCTTCCTCTGCCTCCTGAGGAGCTGAGTGGGGTGGAATTGGTGTGCGATTCTCCCAGCCGCATCCAAGATTGCATGGCTCGAGCTTTAAGCAGTAAGAACACAGTGATCTTCCTCCAGGGCCTCCTCGTCACCTCCAGGCCTTTCGTCACCTCCAGGGCCGCCTCATCACCAGCGTGTCAGGAAGCCCAGTGTCAGAATAATGTTGACCAAGCACTCACCCAACAGGGAAACCTGCCGCACTCCATGAGGGAGCAACTATTGCTGTCCCCATTTGACAGGCAGGGAAACGGGGGTACAGAGAAGTGTGGCGACTTCCCCAGGGTCACTTAGCTTGTGAGAAATCCAAACTTGGGGTCTCCGTCTCTGGACACTGGCAGCTCAGGTTCAAATCGAGCCTCTTCGAGGAAGCCCTCCTGCCACTCGGGCTTGGTCACACTCCCTCTCTGGGTCCTCATAGCCAGCAGCACTTCCCATCTTTCCCTGTCCACTCTGGGCCTTCCTGTTTGGGGACAGATCTTCCTCCCTCGTAATGTTTGAGCCCTGTGAGGGTTAAGTCTGCAGCCAGTTCAGTCACGTCTGTGTCCCTGTCACTGTAGCCCAGCAGGGCGCCAAGCACAGGCTCAGCGACTGTGGAGCAGCGAGGAGCCTCCCTGGTTTGAGCCTCGGCCTCTTCTCAGCAGGCCTTCTCAGCCTCCAGGAGTGTGGGGCGCCTCTGCCCTGTCTGTGTGGCTGGAGGATGTGGACGCAGTGTGTCTTAGGCAGGTGACACCACCTGCCAGGATACCAAGCCCAGGCCCCACCCCAAGGCCGAGGGGAGGCTGGGGACTGGCCAGCCACCGGCGAGAGCTACTCCCATGGACTTGGGTGTTCCCTCCTTCAAAGTTTCGGGGTGCAGTCAGGGATGGACGTCACAGGCAGGACCTGGTGCCAAGTGAGTCCCAGCTCTGCTCAGAGCTGCCCGGGGCCCTCCACTCCGAGCCTCGGGCAGCCTGCATCCCTTCAGCCTTGGTTTCCTCGTCTGTATCCAGCGAGAGCAGCCCTCAGACGGGGAGGGTTAGCCCGAGAAAGGCTTTGGCAGAGCTGGGCAGTGGGAGGCAGGACAAAGAGCGTGGAGGGCACAGTGTGTCGTGGGGTGGTCCCAGGTTCTGGTCCACCTCCTCGTCCCTGCATTTTTTATTTTTTATTTTGGTGTGGACCTCGGGATGGAGCCGGGGCCCTCTACCGCTCAGCTACATCCCAGCCCTTTCCTGAATTGTTCTTTGAGGCAGGGTCTCGCTGAGTTGCTGTGCTGTTCTCAAACTTGGGTCCTCTTGCCTCAGCCTCCCAAGTAGCAGGGATTACAGGCATGTACCACTGTGCCTGGCTTCACGCTGTGTTCTTTAACCCCTTCATGTGAACCCCAGTTGTCTCCTCTGCAAAATGGGGTTGTAATGTGACCCACTCACGGCACAGGGCTGATGTGTGACTGTTCGCTCGGGTAGGGGGACACTGTGGGAGGGGCCTAGGGCAGGGGGAATGTGGTAAGAGCTGGTGTTTGTGGGCCTTGTCTTCCTGCCCGGTGGTGACGGTTGTTGTTGGCGGTGGTGACTAAGGCCTCACTGTGCTGTGTGGACCCTGCTGGGTGCTCTGGGTCCTCCCTGCAGTGTGGTCTGGTCAGGGTAGCGCCATGCTGACCCACGTCCTTTAGGGGGACACCGAGGCCCGGCGGGGAAGCCGAGCTGGGATGGACTCCGCATCTGGCCTGGTGTTTGCTCTGAGCTGCCCAGCTGCTCTGCCCACCCGGGCCCTCGTAAACAGCTGGAGAAGTAGGGACAGCAGCTTCTGGGAGGTGACTGGCAGGGCTTCCGTGCTCCTTCTGCCCAGTGGCCCGCCCAGCTGCCCGTCTGTCTTCCAGAGCGTGCAGCAGAATGGCTCCATCTACATCCACGTCTACTTCACCAAGAGTGGCTTCCACCCCGACCCCCGGCAGAAGGCCCTGTACCGCCGGCTCGCCACGGTCCACATGTCCCGGAGTAAGTAGTCACTCCCGACAGCCAGGACCCGCCATAAGGGGCCCAGCCTCCTGGGCCCCAGGCTGGAGTGGCGGACAGTGAATCCCAGGTCAGGAAGGGCAAGCTGCGGCTCATGCCTAGGGAGGCCGGGGCGACAGACGGACTGCCCCTCACGCACCCTGTGGCCTCAGCACCCAGACCACAGAGGAGTGGGCTAGGAAGAGCAGGTGGAGGCGGGGACTTCTGGAGGGAGTGTGCCAGGGGTGGCGGGTGACTCACGCACAGCCTGGGCTGGTGAAGCTGATGCTCAGGTGCCCCGTGGACAGCGCAGGGTACACGGCAGGGGAGCGGGGCAGGGCTTGGCATGGGAATGGTATCTTTTTCGTTGTGTTTGTGGCGGTGCAGCCTCTGTGTGCGGGTGCTGGGGGCACACACTGCCTTTGGAGGAGTCTCTGTGTTCGACCAGGTGGCCCTGTCATTTGGGTCCTGCAATAAGGTCTGAGCCTAGCTCGTCCCTGAGGAAGGCATGGTGAGGGGCCTTGCAGCTGGATGAGGCCTTCTGTTTCAAGGACTGTCCCCCTACTTTTATGTGGCCTGGTGGCCCGGGCAGTGCTAGGCACGCACTGGGAGAATCTTGATTGGGTGGACAAACCTCGGGCAGAGCTGGATGCTTGCGGCCTCTTTTGTGTGTGTGCAGGGATTGAGCCCAGCCACAGAGCCACATCCCCAGCCCTTTTTTTTAGTTTTAGATAGGGTCTTGCTGAGTTGTCCAGGCTGGTGTCAAACTTGTGATCCTCCTGCCTCAGCCTCCCGAGTTCTGGGATTACAGATGTGGGTCACTGCACCTGGCTATTCGTAACTTCTGACACAGCCTGTATTGAAACCAGTTTTATTTCTCTCCACTCACTGCATCTGGTTGACTATTTTTTAGATCTCCTATTGCACATATATGGTTTAAAATTCAAATACTGTGTCAGGTGCGCCAAGCCCAGGCTCCCGTCCGCCTCTTCTCCTCCTCCTGGCCACCACAGCCAGCCTCAGTAGAGATCAGCTGAGCTCTTTATCCTGCTCCTTCTCCACCAGGGCTCCCACTGATAAGTTAACACTGGAGTTTCTTTTTTTGTTGTTGGTCCTGAGGATTGAACCCAGGGGTGCTGTACCCCTGGGCTGCGGCCCTAGCACTTTTCTTAAACGTTTTTGACTATGTGACGTTTCTTAAACGTTTTTGACTCAGACTCACCGTATGTCTGAACCATACGGTGAATACACCTTTTTTTAAATTCCTTTCTGCCTAACTTCACATTTTCCAGGAAGCTAATAATTGTCTTTACCTAGCTTTTTGGGCTACTTCCTTGAGTCCATGGTCTCCTGTCGGCACCCAGAGAAACCTCACTGTCCCTGGGTTCCAGCAGCTCTGGAGAATGGCTCTTCTGAAACCCCATCCCCCGTTCCCCTACCTTGGGTTTTATTTACTCCATGGAGCTTTTATTTTATTGAGTACTATTCCCAGCGTCCTGTGGGCTTGGTCAGACCCACCTGGCTGTTTGGGGTAGCACTGTGACAGATGTCATGGTTTTCATATGCGTCAGGCCTTCCCTGTTCCCTTTGTTAAAAAAAGATCCTGAAGGATGGTCATTCTGTAAAAGAAAGTCGGTGAGCTCATGTCAGTCCCCAAAACTGACTTGGAAAAGTCCCCTGGAGTTTGCCAGACACGTTCTAAGCCAGTGTGCCTGGGAGCGCGTTCAGCTGCCGGCCGGCTTCCCTGAGAAGGAGCTGGGAAGAAGTGGGAGAGGTGGCCTGAGAGGCTGTGACCTACCGGGATGGTCCCATGGATGTGTCAGGGTCAGGGTCGGGGTCAAATTGTGTGACACCTCAGAGGTTGCCCTGCATGTAGCCCAGGTGGGTCCTGCTACCTTCGCTTGCTGCTCACCTGATCATCCTGGTGAGCTGTCTGATGACTGTGTTTGCTGGGGTTTTGACTTGGGGGAGTGTGGCTTGCGCAGTGAGTTTGCTCATGGGCAGTGTGACAGATGTAAAATGTCTGTAAAGTAGGTCTGCAGCCAGTAGACTGAAAAGCCACCCAGGCCACCCCCAGCCCCAGTCTGTGCTGGGACCCCTCAGAGAAGGGACATGGAAGGACTTGGACTTAGCTACCTTTGCCACAGGGTGAAGAATGAGGATGTGATCAAAAAAGCCCCTTTCGTTCCCCAAAGGCCAGCATCCGGGTCCAGAGTAGCCCTGTGTGGGGAGGTGCAGTGTGAGCCAGAGGCTTGCAGTTCCTCCTGGAAAAGAGCCAGCAGTAAAGGGGCAAATGGAACCAGCGGATTTATGTTAACGGCGCGAGGTTGAGCTCAGTCGGCACCTGTCATTTCCACGTGGAATCAGTGTGGGAACGAAGGTGAGGCCAAGAGCACACCACGCTCATAGCCCGCCTCCCGCTGACCAGCCACACTTTCAGTGCTCAGAGGTCACATGGGCCAGGGACCCCATGCTGGGTGATGCAGCTCTAGAAGCAAAATCTGGAGAACAGGAGGCTCTTTGCTCCCCGTGGCAGCCGGGCCCATCTCCTGTTAGAAGCCCGGTCCCCTGAGCCAGGCCCTCTCCATGCTCCCGCCCAGCACCGCCCCCTCCCTCCCTGGCCGCCTCTCCCAGGTGAAGATGGCGCAGGACATGTCCTTCTAGAGTTCCTTCTCTAGGATGCCCACCCTCAGTGCTCACTGCTCTCCTGGTCCTGATCTCCTGGGCTCAAGTGACTCTCCTGCCTCGGCCCTCCAAACACTGGACCTGCAGGGGCACACCCCAGGCCCAGCTTCAGATGAGCTGGTTAGGAGAGAGACGGTGGCGTTCGTGTTAGCGACAGCAGGCCTGGTCCTCCTTTCCAGAGTCCAGGGAGGGACTCGACTCGGCATCCCTTAGCTTGCAGGAGTCAGATCCAGGGTTGTCTCCGGAGCCCTCGTGGCCAGCTCCTTTGACCAGCTCCCCTCCCTCCCTGGCTGCGGGCAGGACGGAGAAGCTCACAGCAGGAGAAGGTCACAGGCAGCTCTTCTTCCCAATGAAAGGGAATAAGAAGATGCCCCGTGGCCAGGAGTGGGGCGACGGGCACGAGTGAGCGCCCCCCTTCCCAGCAAGTCCTGGCAGTGCCCAGGGCAGGGCTCACAGAGCCTGGGGCCTTCATGAGAGGAGTGGGGGCGGCCCTGGCTGGGGCGTCGCGGCCCCAGGATGCCTCTCCAGGCCTTCTCTGGGCTCCGTCTGCAGCCTGCCTCGTCATGACCCTGTGCGCGGCCATCCCAGCCTGCGGTGTGCGCGTCAGTGTTTGAAATCAGCCCTGACTGCTGCATGGGCTTGGGTGGGACACAGGGGCAGTGGGCTTGCGTCGCCGAGGGCTGTGATGGAAACAGCTAGGAGGGGAAGTGTGCTCAGGGGAGTCGCTGAGAGGATGGGACAGTTAACCTGGGACTTGCAGGCTGAGAAGGGGCCATCCATGAAGACTGCAGGGGACAGTCACAGGGAGACGGAGCAGCCATCCAGAGGCCCAGGCGGGGTGATAGAGGTCAGCTCAGGGTGCTGCCCACCCAGCACTCCCCCAACAGAGGTCAGGGGGCGTGGCCTCGTGAGGGGCCACTGAGAAGGCAAGCCCTGTCATCCAGGAGGGGCCCCTGGGCTGGCCGGGTGGGTGGAGAGGCCAGAGGACCATCGGATGTGTGGTGCAGGCAGTGGCGTCCTCCGCTGGGTGAGCAGAGGCCTGGCCTCTGGACATGCAGGTGCCCGTGCCCGAGGCCTCACCTCCCCATCTTTCCCCTCCCCCATCACCCGCAGTGATCAACAAATACAAGCGCAGGCGATTTCAGAAAACCAAAAACCTGCTGACGGGAGAGACGGAAGCCGACCCAGAAATGATCAAGGTAACTGTGAATGGGGCTGTGGGCGTCGTAGGGACCAGATGGGTCGGTCACCCCCAGCTGGCAGCCCCATGGCCCACGGCTCCCCTGAGCTGGGATGCGCTAGTCCACCACACCTCCCTCAGCCTCCCTTTCCTTACCTGGAAAGGGGTCGGGAATCAGGTGGAGTGGGGAGGTCTACCGGTAAGCCTCTCGCTGGCTCTGTGAGGGGGTCCTGCACCAGTTCCATTTCACATGGGGACACGTGCTTAAGTCTCAGCCAAGCAGCGGTGGGGCAGGACTCATACCCAGGCTGCTGGCGCAGAGGAGAGGCCCGGGGATGCGGCCAGGGGGAGCTGTGGGCTGCAGGTCCTGGTGGGCTGGGCAGCAGGGGGACCCACAGGATGGGAGTCTTGCTTCCTGGGTAGTCCTAGGAGGAGGAGGGATGCCACTCAGGGACCTGTGGAGCCACCATCTCAAGGCAGGGCCTTGCCCCCTACCTCTGTGGGCTTCACTTTTCTGTCCCCCGGGTAAGAGGATCTCGGGGGTCTGAAGACTGGCCTTGGGTGGGCCAGGGCGAGTCCTCTGCCCGTGGCTGTGGTTGTGGAGGTCCAGCCTTCATGACAGTCGGGTGTTCAGGAGGAGGTGTGTGGAGCGGCTGCCACCAGCCCCTGCGCTACCCCGAGCCCACTGCGGTCCCCATCTCCCCGCAGAGGGCCGAGGACTATGGGCCCGTGGAGGTGATTTCCCACTGGCACCCTAACATCACCATCAACATCGTGGACGACCACACGCCGTGGGTGAAGGGCAGCGTGCCGCCCCCACTAGACCAGTGTAAGCCCAGCCCAGCGGCAGCCTGCAGAGGCCTGGGAGGGTGCTCGAGTCCATTTCCTGTCTCACCCCGAGAGACCTTCCTAAGTCCTTGCCCTCCCTGGACTCCCAGCCCTGTCTTGCCTCTGCTCTCCTCTCACTCCCACGCCCCTGGTGACCCAGGACCGGCTACCACTGGTGACCAGCTGCCGGGTGCCAATCCGTCTGCAGCAGGTTTCATCCATCACAAGCATTTTCAAAAAATGCACCCGCTGCCGGCTTTGGCAGCTGAGGCAGTTCTGACTGATTCCACAAAGCCTCGGACACGGGGTCACCCCGGGGCACCTGGCTGCGACCTTCCACCCAGGCCCCTCTGCTGAGGTCAGGGGCTCTCACACAGCCCAGAAATGCCCCCTGGCCTCCAGTGTTTGTCAGAGGGGCCATCCTGGGTCCCTATCCCCAGCTGGCTGAGCAGTGCCCCGCCCTGTGTGCCCCCAGACGTGAAGTTCGACGCGGTCAGCGGGGACTACTACCCCATCATCTACTTCAACGACTACTGGAACCTGCAGAAGGACTACTACCCCATCAACGAGAGCCTGGCCAGCCTGCCGCTGCGCGTTTCCTTCTGCCCGCTGTCGCTCTGGCGCTGGCAGCTCTACGCGGCCCAGAGCACCAAGTCACCCTGGAACTTCCTGGGCGACGAGCTGTACGAGCAGTCAGACGAGGAGCAGGACTCGGTGAAGGTGAGCTGGCTCCTCCTGGCTGCAGAGGCCAAGGGGAAGTGGCCCATGGGCTGGGGACTCCCGCAGCTCTCTCCTGCCCCCCAGTTCAAACGGCCTGGACCTTTCCTGCAGGGCCCTGCCTGGCCTGGGGCCCTGTTGCCGCTCCATCAGCCCATCACCGGGCCGGGCCCTCTGGATCTGGACCCGCCCCACCCTGTCTCCCCGACTTCACATCACTGCCCTAAGTGCCTTCCCATGGCCATCTGTCAACCTGGCTGCGTGACATTGAAACTAGGCTCTGTGTGCCTGGGGCTGTGGTTGCTGTTGGGTTTCTGTTCCTCGCTGTCCCTCCATGTCCCTTGCCCCACCTCTCTCCCTGTCTCTGCCTCTCCCTGTGTCTTCTCCCTTCTGTATCATGTCTTCGTCCCCGTGTGTCCTTCTCTGACCAGCTGTCCTCCTGGCTGGTGCTGGCTCTTCCTCTCTGGAAGGCCCCAGAGGCGGGCCTGGGGATTGTCAGCAGGGCCTGTCTGGGTGCCCTGGGGCAGGAGGGCAGCTCTGAGCAGGAGCGGGCAGTGCTCATGGCCCTTCCCCCAGGTTGCCCTCCTGGAGACCAACCCCTACCTGCTGGCGCTCACCATCATTGTGTCCATCGTCCACAGTGTCTTTGAGTTCCTGGCCTTTAAGAACGGTAGGTGTGGGACCCCAGGGCTCTGAGAGACCTGTGGGGCCTGGGGATGGGAGGGCGCAGGGCAGGGAATCGGGGTGCCCTTTCCTCCCCATACCTCCCCCTACCTGGGATCTCTCAGCTCCAGTTTCCAGAAACCCGGTGAGCTGGGAGGGACAGTGACCCCCAAAAGTCCCAACCCAGAAACTCCCACCCACCAGCTGAGGGAGGGGTTGGACCTGCTGCTCAGGCCGAGGCCAGAATGGCACCAGCAGGAACAGGCCGGGGAACTCCAAGGCCTAGAGCAGGGAAGCCCCAGAGTGGCTCCCGGTCTGCCTGGCAGGCCACCTCCCACCAGCCCCTCGCCCTCCTGGCGGGAAGGCAGGAGTCCCGTGAAGGCCGAGTTCTGAGGACGACCACGCTGGCCCCTGAGGAGGCTGTCATCGCCCCTCAGGTACAACAGAGGAGGCAGAGGTCAGAGCTTAGGCCATTTGCCAACGTCACCCACAGTTCCAGCCCGTTTTACCCTCGAGGCCAGAGTCCCCAGGAGGAGGGGTGCCTGCACCTACTGTCCAGAAGAACGTAGTGTCCCACTGTAGTCCCTGATGTGACCTCCATGGGGACCTGGTCAGCTGTCACATGGAGCTTCACTAGACACTGCCTCACCAAACCCTCTGCCCACCCTGGGCGGGTCTGCTGGGCTCGTCCTGTCCAGAAGAGGGAGGAAGCTCGTGGAGGTGTGGGCGCTCCCCTTGGTCCCTGCAGGAATGGAGCAGTCGCTTTCTGCCCTAGGAGGGACTCAGCCACCCCTCCCACCAGAACTCGTCTCCCCTCCATTCTTACCAGTGGGCCTGGGGGTTGGTGTGGTGGGCTGAGCAGAGTGGGCCAGGTCCGCAGCCCCGAGTGCCAGTGGGCCCTGTGTGACTGCGGCCTGGCCTTGCTGCTGTGAGCCAGGCTGTGGTGTGGCCCTCCTGTGGTTGCGCTTGTCACCCTATCAGCCTGGCTGGGCTCCGAGGGGTGTGGTTGACCTGAGTTCCCCAGGTTGGAGACTAGAGCCCAAGGGTGTCCACACTCCATTTCCTTCATGGTTTAGCATGAGGGGAGCTGGAGGAGGTCCCCAAGCCTGTACCCCAGACCTTCCTATCCCGGGAGGCAGGGTGGGCTGTGGTGTGGCAGGCCAGCATCTGTCCAGGCTCCACCCCACCCGGCTGTGACTCCCAGCACTGTGTACAATGAGCATCTGTCTGACCATCAGGCAAGGGACGGCACCTGGGGGCACTGGGTGCTCCTGTTTTGCATGGGGACCTCAGAGGTCCTGCCTGCTCGTGGCGTGGAGGCCACCAGTGCATAGAGGCCCTTCCTGGGGGAGCGCAGTGCTCGCCTGCCCACTGAGGGCCCTCACGTCCCGCCTCGGCTCACAGATATCCAGTTCTGGAACAGCCGGCAGTCCCTGGAGGGCCTCTCTGTGCGCTCCGTGTTCTTTGGCGTTTTCCAGTCCTTCGTGGTCCTCCTCTACATCCTGGACAACGAGACCAACTTTGTGGTCCAGGTCAGCGTCTTCATCGGGGTTCTCATCGACCTGTGGAAGATCACCAAGGTCATGGACGTCCGGGTACGTCGGGGCCGGTCAGGGGCGGGGGCCTCCTCCCAGCCCGGGCCTGGAGCTGGCCTCTGGGGCTTTCCCGATGCTGCTGCACTCCAGGACAAGGGGATTTTCACACCAGGGGATTTTTTTGGGTCATATGTCGGCCAGGGGAACTGGGAACAGTGGGGAGGGCATGGTCTGGTTCTGGCTTAGGGGTCGCAGGGGCCAGGGCCACAACTGACACCACTTCTTTCCTGTGTGCAGCTGGACCGGGAGCACAGGGTGGCAGGGATCTTCCCCTGCCCGACCTTCAAAGACAAGTCCACATACATCGAGTCGTCTACCAAGGTGTACGACGACGTGAGTGTCCCCCGCAGCCCTAGTGAACAGTGTCCAAGCAGCTATACTCCTGAGGAGCGGGGACTGAGCCATCAGCCTGCCAGCTGCTGAGCCCACACTTTAGGGCCTATGCCACACCCTGTGTCCCCTGCCTGCCGTATCTACTTCCTGGCCAAGTCCAGAGTTCCCAGGGCTACCTGGAAATTCCCCCAGCCCAACTTGCCAGGCCAGGTGTGGGTTGGGAACAAGGGTGCTAGGTGGGGCCCTCAGAGCCAGCCACAGCCCTGCCTGTGACCCCACAGATGGCCTTCCGGTACCTGTCATGGATCCTCTTCCCGCTTTTGGGCTGCTACGCCGTCTACAGCCTCCTGTACCTGGAGCACAAGGGCTGGTACTCCTGGGTGCTGAGCATGCTCTACGGCTTCCTGCTGACCTTTGGTGAGCCGCGCCGACAGGGCAGGGCCTCGCTGGTGGACAATCCCAGGCCCTCTCTGGGCAGTACCAGAACACAGTGGGGATCGAGTTGGTTGGGCCTACTCTCCCCAGGCTTGGCCATCATTAGGGGAGGCAGACCTGTCCCACAGAGCGGTACCCAGGGTAGAGAGGTGGGATGTGGGGGCCTAGGGGCGCCCTGGCCCCATTTGTGGTGAAGAGGGCAGACCGCGGGTGCCACTTAGAGGGAACTGGGGAGGCCCCTCTAGGGACGGTGTCCAAACCGGGGCTAAACAGTGCCAGGGAGGGGACCCTACAAAGATCTCACGGCAGAGGGCAGAGGACATGCAAATGCCCCAAGGCGGGGATGCAGTGGGGTTGTGGGTGGCGAGGAGGCCAGTGGGGCTGGACGCCGGGGCCATGGAGCACTCCAAGGCCAGGAGCACCCGCGTCCCCGCACTCAGGGTGCCCTCCTCTCTCACACAGGCTTCATCACCATGACACCCCAGCTCTTCATCAACTACAAGCTCAAGTCCGTGGCCCACCTGCCATGGCGCATGCTCACCTACAAGGCCCTGAACACCTTCATAGATGACCTGTTCGCCTTTGTCATCAAGATGCCCGTCATGTACCGGATCGGCTGCCTACGGGACGGTGAGGCCTGGGGATGGGGTTCAGGCCCCGGGTCGGGGGGGGGGGTGACGGCCCTGGGCTGAGGCTGGCATGCGGGCGAGCCCAGGCCTGAGGACCCTGTCCCTGTTGCTGTCCGCAGACGTGGTCTTCTTCATCTACCTCTACCAACGGTGGATCTACCGCGTCGACCCCACCCGTGTGAATGAGTTTGGCATGAGTGGCGAGGACCCCGCAGCCGCTGCCCCCGTGGCCCAGGCCCCCACGGCAGCAGGGGCCCTTGCACCATCAGCCCCCACAGCCACCGCTGCCAGGGAGGAGGCCCCTGCGTCCCTGCCCACCCAGCCCAGTCTGGGGGCCAGCCCCGCCACTGAGTCCCAGGACGCCCCTCCAAAGCCAGCAGAGGACAAGAAAAAGGATTAGCCCTACTGGTCCTCCTCGTCCACTCCGGTTCCTGGCGACCACCACCCCTGCCAACCTGGCCCCTGCCGCCCCTTCCTGTCGCCCTCTCCCTGGACAGATCGGGCAGGCGGCAGGAGGCCCCCTTGGGCCAGGGCCCAGCGTGTGACACGGGGCCGGGGCGGGCTGGGCTCGTTGTTGTGGAGGCGCCGTCTGTCTGTCTGTCCTGTTTCCAGCCATCTTGCCCTGCCAGCCCAGCCCTGCTGGGAATCATGGTGAAGCCTATGCGGCGCTGCCGAGGGGGGCCAGGTGGGGAGGGGCCGGGGCCCCTCTGTGGGACGCCCGCAGTCATCCATTGTCTTGTCCCTCGTCCGACCACCCCCTCCTCCCAGACCGCCACCCTTAACACAGTCTGGATTTAATAAATTCATGTGGGTGTTTAACTTAAGCTCAGCCGCCCCTCCCTGCCTGCCTTCCTCTTCCCCGCAGAGCCTCTCTCCTGGGGCCTGGGGCTCTCCTGGCTTCCGGAGGGAGACCTGCCTGGTGGAGGATGCAGAATGGGGGGAATAGTGGCCCCAGGGAGTCGCGCCTCGGGACCAGGCCCCTCTCTCACTCTCCCCTCCCACTGCCCTCGAGGGGCTTCTGAAACTGTCTCACAGACTCCTGGGAAGCTGCCCATGGTGGGCCAGCCCCCACCCCACCCCACCACGAGGCAGGGCCAGGAGCGCTGCCCACAGGAGGCCTCACGGCAGCTGCTGGGAGGGACGCTATGCTCAGGTTTCCTGCTCGCAGTGTGACGTGTCATGACATGCACCTGATGTGCTGCCGCTCACCTCAGCTGTGGCAGGGAGCAGCACCCCAACTGCTGCAGCACCAGGTGTGGGAGGCTGCGTGCCGAGGACCCGCTCCGCTCCTGGGTGTGATGCTTGTGCCACCTCTGCAGCGTCACGAGCTGGGACTTTGCCCGCTGGGAGTGAGGTGGCTGGGCTCCTGCACCCTGGAGGGGGTTGGACCCCGGTCACCTGCATTTGTGGGAGGGTTGGTCTCTTAGCTCAGAGGAGGCTGGGCTGAGGGCCACGTTGTAGGCTCTCCTTGCTTCCCAGTCTGCAGAGCCTGGCTGGGGGGAAGCACCTGGGACGTGTCCGTGCTCACTGAGCCCCATGTGTGGCACTGTGGGCGGCTCTGTCCCTCAGGTAGCCTAGATCTGCCTCATTCCCTGCCCCACTCTATATCAGGCCATGGCTCCACAGCACGGCTGCTCTGCCGGGCTCCTTAGCTTGCCATTCCCTGCCTAGAACACACCCCGGCTCAAAACTTCATGCCCCGGGCACCCTCCAGGTTGCAGCTTGGGCGCCGCCACCTCCAGGATGCCCTCCCTGAGCCCCAAGTCCTCTATCTAGGCTCTGGTGGCAGCCCTGCCCGTCAGGGACATCACTGGGGTGATGGGTCAGTCTCGTCCACTCGACCAAGACCTGCGAGCACACAGCCAGGACTGTGGACTGCCGGCTCCCTGTGCACATTCACTGCCACAGCTGCAGCCACTGTGACACACGGACACAGTCCACAAATGCTCCCCAAGGCCCTCCCCCTGTGCTGGGACCAAAATAGTGCTGCCTACCCTGTGGATGCACGCCTGCAGAAATCCTCAGTGCATGCGTTCAGTTGTTCATTCAACAAGCATGAGTCCTGACAAGAAGCAGAGGGGAATCTGGTGGGCTCATGGGCCTAACGTAGTAGGAGCCGCTGTTTGTCGGTCCTCAGGAGCCAGGCTCTAGTCTAAGTACCTAATGTGGTTTGCTTTACCCATTGAACTGAATGTCACTCCGTGTCCCCACTGCCTTGCCAGCCGGTCGTGCTGGCCCAGTCTCTACCTCTTCCCTCAGCCACTGCTCTAGTTTCCTCTCCACTCTTGGTGTTTTGGTACCAGGGATTAAACCCAGGGGTGCTTAACCCCTGAGCCACATCCCCAGCCCTTTTCATTTTTTGAGACAGGATCTTGCTTGATTGCTAAGGGCCTCCCACGTGGCCCAGGCGGCCCCGCTGCCCAGCATCCCCTTCCTCACTGCTCTTAAGCTACACATTTCCCTATCTCAGGGCCTTTGCACTTCTTCCCTGTACCCTGAACATGTTCCCCCTAGTTATCCACATGGATGGATCCCTCACCTTCAGATCTCTACTCAAATGTCACCTCAGACCCTCCCAGTGTCCCCAAATTCTATTCATATTTACTGCTCTTTTCTTCTTCAGTAGCATGACCACCAGATGTGTAGTTATTTATCTATTTTACGTCTCTCTTGGATTTTGGCTCCTTGATGGCAAGGGCTTTTGTCTGTGGGTTCCTTGTTATGTCCCCAGCTTTTAGAACAGTGCCTGGCACTGTTGAATAGAGTGTGACACTTTTTTCCCACCCCTGGGGATTGAACCCAGCAGTGCTCTACCACTGAGCTGTATCTGCAGCCCCTTTTTATTTTGAGACAGGGTCTTGGTAAATTGACCAGGCTGACCTTGAACTTGCAATCCTCCTGTTTCAGCCTTCCAAGTAGCGGGGAGTACAGGCATGCACCACTGTGCCCACATCATGTGTAATGTAATAAGTCTGTAAATGGAGCGTTCGCAGCAATCCTGTGAAGCTTGCTGTTCAGCCTCATCTAGCATATGAGGAAACAGCCCTGCAGAAATGAAGGAATTTGTCCAGGGTCATACAAACATCACAATGCAAGTGTTCAGGAAGGTACACCTGTCACGGGGAAGAGCTACATCCAAGGGTCTACCACTACTGTTACAATGATGAATAGATTGTTTTGAGATGGGGTCACACGTTGCTCCAACTGACCCTCAAATTCCTAGGCTCCTCCTGCCTAGGGAGGAGGGAATATAAGCATGTGCCACCACATCCAGCATATTATCAGTATTTAATTCCCACAGCTGTCCTACTGAAGACCCACTCTACAGCTGGGAAACAAGTTCAGAGATGAAATGAGTTATCTGAAGTCACACAGCAATTGAGGTCTAGGATTTGAACGCAGTCAGTCTGATTCCAATACTCAAAGCACAACCTCTATAAGGCCTACATGCCAAATCCAGGCGGGGGCTCAGTTTCCCACTAGTTTTGTATTATTTTTACATTTTTAAGTGATTGTTACAATCTAAAGAAGAATCTCTCATGCTCCTTTTGTGGCTCACTGTGTAAGAATTGGTTTCATGCCACTGTGGGGTGTGCCTCTCGCCAGCCATGTTATGATGTCAGCACATCACCCACCTGGCAGGAAGAAAGAATATATTGCTTTATGTGAAAATTATATGAAATTTCATTATTTTATAACTTCTTTTTTTTCAGTACTGGAAACTGAACGCTGGCCTCATACATGCTAGGCAAGTGTCTTGCCTCTGAGCTACATTCCCAGTGAAATTTCACTTGTGATATCCATAAAATAATGTTGTTGGAACATAGCCCATAGCCACACTCATTACTTCTTTTTCTTTTTTCTTTTTTTTTTTTGGAACTGGGGGTTGAACCCAGCGGTGCCTTATTGCTGAGCTATATCCCAGTTCTTTTTATTTTTATTTTGAGAGAGGGTTTTACTAAGTTGCTGAGGCTGACCTTGAATTGGAATTCTCTGGAGTCCCTGGATTACAGTTGTGCCCCACCATGCCTGGCTACACTCATTACTTTTGTACTGCTGTTGGCTGGTTGTGTGCAATGGCAGATTGACAGTTGAGACCACCTGGTCCTCAAAACCTAAAGACTAACACATTTGCTGTCTGGTCCTTTGCAAGATGAAGTTTGCTCAATAGCATTAATTCTCCAACTTGGCACTCCAGCAATCATCTGAAAGGTTGGAGGCCACACTTTTGAGAATCACTGCTGTATAAGAAAAGCTACAAGGCCTGAGCTTCTGAGCCCTGTGCCCTACCGCCCATGCAAGTTACAGCGCACAGGTCATGCTAAATAACACATACCAGGGATTGAACCCAGGGGTGCCTAACCACTGAGCCAAATCCCCAGCCCTTTTTATTTTTCATCTTGAGACAGGGTCTCACTAAGTTGCTGAGGCTGGCTTTGAACTTTCAATCCTCATGCCTCAGCCTCCTGAGCTGCTGGGAGTACAGGTGTGCATCACTGTGCCCAGTTAAATAAGTGTATGTTGAATGGATCAATTAGTCCACATGGGTCATGAAGAGAAGAATTGGATCGTCCAGATTTTTCACAAGCAAACAGGGAGGATATCAAACTCTGGCTCTGAGGTCTGGGGGTGCAACTGAGTTTGAACCTGATAGTTACTTTCTCAGGAACATGGAAGGCTTAGGGATGTAATCTAGCCAAGTGTGGTCCCTCTTTGAGCCTCAGTCTCCTCTGCAATAATCCTAACTCTAGCAAATGCTCCTGGTGCTCTTGCCAGGTACAAAGCACTGTGGGCACACTGCTCCATGTGTACAGCAGGGCTCCTGCTGTCACCATTCCCAGACTGAGTTATTAGCCTTGGGACTCAAAGCGCTGTGCATTTATTTATTTATTTATTTACTTACTTACTACTGGGATTGAATCCAGGGGCTCTACCACCAAGCAACACCCCCAGCTGCCCTGCCTTTGAGGCAGGGTCTCTCTAAATTTCTGAGTTCCAAACTTGCCATCCTCCTGCCTCAGCCTGCAGAGTTGCTGGGATTACAGGCGTGCACCACTGTGCCAAGCACTCTGTGCCGTTTCTAAGTGTTTTGGAGAGGCCTTGGGGAAGAACAAATACAAAATCCGTCCATTCATTCAGAAATATTGGACACCTACCCTACTGTGTTCTGCATTGGAGATACAACAAGAAACAAAACAAATGTACATTCTGGCATTCCAGCTTTAGCCGTTCACTATGTGAACTTCATTCCTAATTTACAGCTGAAGAAACCTCGGGGATTTCATAAAGATCATTATTATCAATGACATGTCTCAGTAGCACAACTTCTGAAGCTTCCCTTCCAGCCTGAGAAACAGCACGCTCAAGTCTTACTAGGAAAACATAGGCAGGGGCTCAGTTTCCCGGCTTGCTCAATGGGCAAGGCGTGAGTGGCCCTAGGCAGGTTTCAGTTGTGCTGTCCAGGGTAATGGGCAGTGACGCTTACCTGGCCCCTCCACAGCACCCAGACGCCCCTTCCCGGTCGGCCCCGCCCCCACGTCCACGTGACGCTCGGGGGTTTTCCCGTTTCCCTGGCGTGACGTCACGACGGGGGTGTAGACCAATGGGCGCTCAGGCTGGCGGCGCCGGGGAATTCCGCCGCCCCGCCCCCTCCCGCCGCCCGCCCGGCCCGGCCCGGCGCCCCCCGCAACCCCGGGCGCCGCGCGTCTTGCCCGGCCTGCGGCCCCAGCCCCTGCGCCGCTCTCGAGCCGCGATCGCCTGCCAGACTGTGCCTCCCGGTTGTCCGGCCTGTCCGCGTGCGTCTGGGCCGGCCTCCTGGCCTTCT